AGGCAAGAAGAGCAGCCTGAAAGCCAGGCCAGGAGTTTAGAGTCTCCACATGAGACTGGACTCCAGCTTTATCTAGGGTGGTGTGATCCGTAACATTAAAGAGATAAGTCTTACTAGATCTACCTTGAGATCTGGAGATTAAAACATTAAGTACACCCTTTTTGGATGGAGCCTATGCGGGGCACAGCAGAAGGATCGAGAACAGGGACCCAACACAGACGAAGTGGTACTAGTGGGGAGGCTGTCCTTTATAAGAACCTGTACAGACTTTAGGAAACACCAAGGGCAGGGCCGCATTAACCACCTTGATTTGATGAGCACTAGTGGATACATGTACAGAAATATCCTACTGCACCCCACAAAAGTGCACTGAGTGTTAACACAAAATTTTAAAAAATGATCAAGTAGAGGGCTGGGGATTTGGCTCAGTGGCGACCCTGCCTGCCTCGAAAGTGCAAGGTCCTGAGTTCAATCCCTGGTACCAAAAAAAAAAAAAAAAAGATCAAGGAGATGGAAATGTTGACTACCCTGATCTGATCACACACTGTATACATGTACTGAATTACCTACCACACGGTATGCCATACATTTATATAATTAAAATAATTTTTACTTTCTGGTCCTCTTCAGCAGGCTTTGGCTGCGGGTGGCATGATTTCCTCTCAAGGTTTGTGGGCTAGAGCTCCTGTGCAGCCTGCCGCAGCTGGCACACACTTTATTCAAGAGAAGATGGTGGGTCGGAACATCCCTCTTCATCTGATACTGCATCTACTTTGACTGCAAGAGGCAAAGTGATCCCAACTTCAAGAACAGGCTTCATGAACGAAGAAAGAAACAGAAGCTTGCCAAGGAGAAAGCTGGGCTTTCCAAGTTACCTGACCTTAAAGATGCTGAAGCTGTTCAAAAATTCTTCCTTAGGGCCGGGGATTTAGCTCAGTGGTTCCGCTGCCTGCCTTGCAAGCGCAAGGACCCAAGTTTGATCCCCAGTACCAAAAAAAAAAAAAAAGATTGGTACAAAAATTCTTCCTTGAAGAAACATAGCTCGGTGAAGAGTTACTAGCTCAAGGTGAATATGAGAAGGCTGTGGACCATCTGACAAATGCAGCTGCTGTGTGTGGACAGCCACAGCAGTTGCTGCAGGTGTTACAGCAAACTCTTCCACCAGCAATGTTCCAGATGCTTCTCACTAAGCTCCCAACAATTAGTCAGAGAATTGTAAGTGCTCAGAGCTTGGCTGAAGATGATGTGGAATGAAAAACAAATCTGAAAATAATAAAATCTCAAAAAGATTTAAAAAAATTCTTAGCTTGGAAGTTGAACAGCTGTGGGGGAATAAGGGCAAATATGCTTGTTTATGGACTGTCCTACACTGAAATCTACCAAAGTTAATGTTTACTTTGTGTAGATCCATTTGTCTTTTTATTTTTCCCAGTGAAAAGTGTATTTTAATAGCCTTTTATTTTATAAAAACACTGTGAGTTACCAAAATGCGGATTTTGTTTATTCCTTAGACCTGCAGTTAAAATGTATATACAACATTTAAAAACCAAGGGCTTAGTTTTAAAAGATAAGCAAAAGGGCTGGGATTGTAGCTGAGTATAGAGTGCTTGTCAAATGTGCACGAGGCCTTAGGTTTGGCCCTAGCACCATGAAAAAGGAAAACAGTGAAAAAGTGTAGGAGAGTGGAGAATGTACATTTTTAAAGCTAGCACATTTTCTTATAAGTTAGATATGATTGTATTTTTGAATAGGGTGTTAAAATGAGACCCTTTCTCTCCATTTACTCTTAAAGATATGTGGTGTGCTGCTGTGCTGTACTAATGGCTCCACCTCTTCCCTCTTTATCAGTCTTGAACTATTTTATTTAAATCAACATACTTAATGTTTATGGATATTTATTTCCTTGTATTTTAACTACAAATAGTACTGGGAATTAGATAACATGTACCTAATCTCCCCATATGAGCTTCACTAGTTCATGTCTGGTCAGTTTCCTCATTTATAAAACCAGGGAATCACTGATTTTTTTTTTTTTTTTTGTACCAGGTATCAAACTCAGGACCCTGCACTTTCGAGGCAGGCGACAGAACCACTGAGCTAAACCCCCGGCTCTCTCACTGATGATTTTTGATGTGTCCCTTTCAGCTTCTTGTTCTTTTGGTTCTGTTCAGCATCTTCAAATTCACCTTCGCCTGAGGAATGTATTTGGGCAACCAGGACTTGCATTTTTTTAATAGTCTGAATTTTGCATGCTTGGATGACTTAGTATTTCTGAACTGATCTTTTGATTTTCACCGGAATTAGTTCTGTGACTATGTAAACTTGAAAATTAACCTTTAAGGCAGCTGGATCATCTGCCTGTAGAAATGTCTGCCCCCTTTTGGCTTTCATCTGCTGTATGTTTCAGATTGATTAATATATCTCATAAACTGACAGTGGGATATAATACTATTACTTTTACTCTCACAGTGAGTATTATCCGCCATTTCATAATTGAGTCAGTTTCAGAATTGAGAATAAAGATCTTTGGTACTTAAAGGCAGAAAAAAAAGAAAAAAAAATTTTAAACAGTTTGAGCCGGGTGTGGTGACACATGCCTATAATCCTAGCACTCAGGAGGCTGAGGCAGGAGGATCGCCAGGAGTTGAGGCCAGCCTGGACTATACAGTAAGCTCAGTATGGCCTGAACTACATAGCAAGACCTTGTCTCAAAAAAACAAAAACAAAAAAAGAGTACTCTTTAAACAGTGTTAATAAATTTAAACTTAAAAAAAAGAAAAGAAAAAGAACTGGTGGCTGAGGATGCAGCTCAGTGGTAGAACATATCCATGTGGCCAAGTTCAATCCCCACCACAAAAACAAAAACAACAACTGGTGTGAGATTTGCAGAGACTGATTATGAGGAAAAAGAAACTTAATAATAACTCATTTATATCTAAACTAGGGGACTGGAAGAACTTCAGTACTAATGAAAGTGAGGATGTGGTAAGTTAAACAAGGAAAAGAATGTTGAAGTTTTCCAATGCACTGAACGGGAAGTGGCCCTGGATATTTAGGGAGACAGGGGCCCCACCAAGCACACACAGTGGAGAAGAGTTTATGTGAAGTCAGGAAGGTAGAGACCCGGCTGTCAGAATGGAAAGGCCTTCCAGAGGTGTGTACAGGGGGCATACACAGGTGTTGTATGTAAGAGGGCTTTCTGTATACAAAGGCACACATGGTACACTTTCTCCATGGGTCACACCAACCCTATGGCCCGAAAAGGCCTCTCTGGGTACAGAGGAGAAACCCACACATTACACTGGCTTGTGGCAAAACAGCATACTGGACAAAGTCTTCCTCATTAGTACTTAATTTTTCTCAGAGGAAAGTTTAATTCAATGTCTCCTTGGGGATGGTGATTGACATGAAAGGCTGTGCCTACTGACTTTGTGACCGGACATACAGTGATCCAAAAGGGAACATGGGCTGGGTGTGGCTCAGGGGAAGCGCTGACCTGTGTGTGCAAGGCCTGGCTTCCATCCCCAGCATGGCAAAAACAACAAAACACAACACACAGCCCTCTAGGATTTCCAAATTTACAAGAAAAATGAACTTGCCGAGAAAGGGAATAAGAGAGAGGCCAGAGGAAACAGGACAAACACTTGGAGCCCCAGCTACTTGGGAAGGCGGGAAGACCACTTGAGCCAGGAGTTGGGGTAAAGGAGTGAGATGTGATCTCCAAAAACAGAAAACAAAACAACACAACACATGCCCAGCTTTCTCCTGGAAGGCAGTGGCTTCTGAGTGAACAACTCCAGCCCAGGCAGAGCGAGCCCTGATTATGCACGGTGTGGAGGGAACGCTGTCCACCCATCCCACCCGGGGTAGCAGCTCCCTGCAGTGCCTGCCTCCCCAGCCAGGATGCAAGGACAGCCAGAGCCCTGGTCACCAAGGCAGGAGGGCCAGGGCCCTGTTGGGAGTCAGGCAGGAGGACCCAACAGCCACGGACAGTGGTGTGCTTCTCTTTAGTTGTCTTTGCTTTCACTACAGAATGGCAACTTCACGTGGTTCAGCCAGGCAGGCAGGTGCTTGTCCAACTTCCCATCTGGTAAATTCTTCTTTTTAAAAAATTATTATCATGTTACTGGGGATTGAACTTGGATCCTTCACACTGAGCTCTACATACCTTTTCTAAGATGCACAATCGTTTCTTTGACAAATCTTCTTGTATTTAATGAGAAACTAATATTTTCACTATTTTAAATAACTAATAGTGTCTTTGGCCATGATTGTCAGGTGAAATGAGTGATTAATTCCTTAGGACAGATACCTAAAATTCAAGACAACACCTGAAAATGCTATTTGATTCAAAGTGTTTTCCAGAAAAAGTGCATCACTGATGACGCTACCTGTCCCTAGGTGAGAGCGCCTTACCCCACATTCTGACCACGTTTGGGAGGGCAGGAAGGCACAGGAAAGCAGAGCCAGCACAGGTGGGATGAGACGGGCTCAGGACACGATGGGAGATGTGAACGCAAAGATAAAAGTGAGTGCTGAGGACCACAATCTCCTGAAGAGGTAGCTGGGGACTGGTGGGACCACAGGTTGCACAGTCAGCAGAGAACACGATAACCACAGCCACACACGGGGCTTCTTCCCCCCAGGGGCCTGCCTGGCTATCACTGCTGCAGTGCTGGGGGCTCCTGGAGCATGCTGTGCATTGCCTCATGGTCTCTGCTCTGAGAGCTCATCCCAGAGCCACATGGCAACTGGCTGACCGCAGAAAGCACAATGGGTCCCAAGCTGGGCTCGGGAGGGACAGACCAGATCTAGGCTGAGAAACCATTCACTCTCTAGTTCTTAGCACACCAGTGACAAGAAAGAATCGTCGGCCAGGGATTTAGCTCAGTGGTTTTGCTGCCTGCTGCGCAAGCGCAAGGACCCAAGTTCGATGCTCGGTACCAAAAAAAAAAAAAAAAAAAAAGAATGGGGCAACAAGGGTTCCACTCTGTTCTTACTGCCAAGCTCCTGCAGCCCTGCAGTCATAGCACCCTCTGGCTTCTTCTGGGTAGGGCCCAGGCACCCTCGCTCTGCCTCCACGGGGTCCACAGATGCATCACCGAGTGTTGCTGATTCCTAGAACATGAAGCACATCCATCCTCAGCCAGGGCAGGGGAGGCTGGTGGGGCTAGCACCAGGTCCCACTGCGGGCTGGGGTCAGGGAGCGGGCTGTGCAGCAAGATCCTCCCTTCACAATGATGTGGCCACTTCCATTTAAACCTGCAACCTGTGCATGTGAGCTCTCGCCTGGCTGCCTTCCACTGCCGCTGTACCCTTGTGGTCCCATTCCCACCACACTGCCACTTCCCAGTCTCCAGGTGCCAAGGAGCCCTTCCATTCCTGCCAGTGCAGCAACCACAAGCAGGGGGTGCCTTCACTACTGACCCTCTGCCATGTCTCCATACCCAGGTCTCTTCGCCATCCCCCAAGGTTGGATCCACACCTGCCTGTGCCTCTCCAGCTGCCAGCTGCCCCTGTACTGCCTCCTAAGCACATCTCTACTAGCTCCTGCACCTCAGTGTCTTACACAGCTGCCGGCCAGATGACCTTGGAGAATACCTACCAGGCCAGGCCAGGCCTGAGACCCTTCCAGGGCTTTTGAGGGGGCAGAGTACAACCCAGACTCATCCTGTCCCATGAGGACCTACAGATGTGGTCTTGGGTCCTTCTGAGCCTCAGCCACTGCTCTCCTCTGATACTTGTAGGTCCCAACCCACAACAGACTCCTTCTTAGCTCAGTGCCTGGGGGGCAGTGCCTACCCTGCCCAGAAAGCTTGCTCCCTGTTTTCTCATGCCATTCCTTCTCACAGGGTCTCAGCTTCATCTCTGCCTTAGAGACAGGGGTTCCTGATCATGTAGCCCACGTGAGCACCCAGCAGCTCTCACCTCTGGAGTTTCGTTTCTCCCTGCTACCCTGGCCATCTTGCCTGTGTGCTTGCTTTCTTGTTTACTGTGTGTCTCCCCCAAAGTTGTGATCACCAAGACAGAGAGGAGAGTGACTTGGTCACTGTAACCTCAAGTTTGAGGCTGGCAGGGGACAGGAGCCAGACACTGTACTTCTTCAGGTCCTTCAGATTGCACAGCTCTTGCCACGGGTCTGATGGGGCATGCAGGGGCAAGCTAGGCTTTGGTTTTCTTTTTTCCTGGTACCGGAGATCCAACTCAGGACTTGTGCTTGGCATGGGGCAACTTAGCTGTATCCCCGGCCCTGGGTTTGTTTTTTTTTTTGGTACCAGGGATAGAACTCAGGTCCTTGCACTTTCGAGGCCAGTGGCAGAACCACTGAGCTAAATCCCTGGTGCCAGGCTTTGTTTTTTAACAAACATTTACTCTCAAAATCTGCAAGTTCACAGGCCACACCCACTTGTGGGCCAGGCTTTGAAAAGCAGAGTGGCAAAAAAAAAAGAAGGAAAGAAAGAAAGAAAGAAAAGCAGAGTGGCAAAGTGCAAATAACAGGCCAAATTACATGCTATGTCCAATTCTGGCCTCAGAAGGCTGCTGTCCTACAACACTGGATCCGCTGGATGGCTTCCCCCGCAAGGATGGGGAAGCAGCATTCCCTCCTCAGGATCAGGACAGTGCCTGCCCTGGGTGAGATGGGACTCACCCAGAGGGTCACCAACGGAGAAGGCGACAGTGAGGGAGAGCAGCAGCTTTCTCTCTCCCAAGTTTTGAAGGTCAGTATTTCGGTTTGTATCTAGATGTTCCCTGAGGGCCTCATATGCTCAAAAAAAAAAAAAAAAAACCACGGGCTAGGGATTTAGCTTAGTGGTTCCACTGCCTGCCTTGAAAGCACAAGGTCCTAAGTTCGATCCCTGGTACCAAAAAAAAAAAAAAAGGTGACTAGATTATGGGGGTCCATAGCTGACTGTTAGGAGGTAGGGCCTGGTTGGAAGAGGCAGGTCATGGGGGTGTGGCCTGGAAGAGTTTATCTTCATCCCTGGCTCCTTCCTTTTCTCTCTGCTTTTTGGCTGCCCTGAGGGGAGTAGCTTTCCTTCACCAGGCCCCTCTGCCATGCCATCCTGCCTCTGGAGTGACGTGAGCCAAAACAAACCTCTCCTCTTTTAAGTTGGGGGTGTTGGGTTTTGAGTCTTAGTGACAAAAAAGTGACTGAGACAGTGAGGGTCTCCACTGTCTGAATGCTGGGTGGAAGCAGGACAGAGAAGCAGAATTGTAAGGTGCTGCTTTGGCGCCCCAACCACATGCTCTCCAGGAGCATGTCAGGCTAGTGGATCCTGGAGTGGAGAGGTACAGCGCTTGCCTGGCCTGCATGAGGCCAGCATTCCAAAAAGGAAAAAGAAGGTGGATCAGCTGCTCCTCTCAACCAGACCTCAGAGAAGAAAGGTTTCTTTCTGCTCCAGTTGATCTCACCTTGTGCATTCTACACTGAATCCTTCCTCTCTTCAGAGGTTTAGATCCATTCGTTACCTTTTCTCCCCTTTACTTTTTACTCATTTTCTACCAGTTGTCTGGATTGTTTAAGCCTTCTTCACCTGAACAATATAGCACCTCAGATTCTGACTCTCCCCTCTAAATTTCCCTCCAATGTCCTCTCTCCTCCAGTGCTGCTGCACTGTGTTAGAATGGCCCTCAGGGGATCAAGACAGCGAAGGGGGATGAACAAAAAAATTAAGATGTGTTATGTACATATGTCACTTCCACACAAGGAATGTAAACATTATAGACTGCAAACATGTATTAATAAAAACCCTAGACCGTAATCATTCCTCACCAAGTTTCCATAGTATAGGGTTTGTTGTCTTCCAACCCAGAGTCAGGATTATTAAGTTTTAAAGATTTTGCAAATAAAGTGGTGGGGGACTTCCACGCCAGGAAGGATGGTTATGTGGGTGGACTGGCAACTTTGTAGTGTGTGAAACATTTCAAGAGGAGAAATGGCATAAGGCACAAAAGCAGAGAAGTGAGAAGAATCGCTGTGGTCAGGGAAAGAAGAAAGAGAAATATCAGTGCTCCCATTACAGCAAGACAATGCTGAGATTGAAAGTATCTGATAATGAAGTCTCCCTTATCAGTGAGCTGATGAGTCACCCCAGGACTGAACGCCTGGTTACTATAGGGAAGGAGACTCAAGGTCCTGAAGGCCAGCCAAGGAGGGAGGAAACAGGACAGCAGTTTCTCATCCCCACCTGACAAATGTCAAACTCTAGAGCTGTAGACAGGTCACCATGTAGCTTTTCACTTCCATTACAGACCCCCCCTCCCCAATCTGGTAATTTACTGAGGGGAAGGAAATTGTAGTGCACAAGTGAAAAAGCACTGTGGTCATGCTGGATTACCCAGCGCCACCATGTAAGCATGCTCTAGTCCAGCGAAGCCTCTGTACACTGTCCCCTCCCTGCCAGCTCTTCAGTCAGGACAGCCAATGCCCCTTTCTGATGCATGAGGACGAGTCAGGTGCTTCCTACTTTGAGATCTGTAGCACTGTCTGCACACCTCTACCACAACTATTAAGTCTGTCTCCAAGTTGCCTGTAAGATCCTGAAGGTTAGGGGAGCCTCAGTCCATCTTTAAATCCCCACAGCTAGCACAAATGATTTGCAATATAAATGATAAGTATTTATAAATTCACAATCTAAATGAATAATGAAACAACTAGAAGAGGACCTAAAGATCATCAAATCCAACATTCTCATTTTGCAGAGAAAACCAACTTCTTCCCCTCTAGCCTGAGTTCAGCATGGTAGTGTGCACTTGTAGTCTCACTACCTGGACAGCTGAGGCAGGAAGATCATTTGGGCCCAGGAGTTTGAGCTCCGCCTGGCTGAGTAACATAGCAGACTCTATTCATTAAGGAAGAAATATTCCAGCCTGATTTTTTTTTTTTTTTTTTTTTGGTACCAGGGATTGAACTTGGGACCTTGCACTTTTGAGGCAGGCGCTGGAACCACTGAGCTAAATCCCCAGCCCACCAGCCTGATATTTTATTCAAACATCTTCAGGTATGACAACCTGCTTAGTTATGGAGAATGCAGCCCAGACCTATAAAACATGGGGTTCATGGGCTGGAGATTTAGCTCAGTGGTGCTGTGCCAGCCTCGCAAGCACAAGGTCCTGAGTTTGATTCCTGGTACCACAAAACAAAAACAAAAAAACATGGGGTTCACTTCTGGCTCTGCTGCTCTCTGCAATAAATGATGAGGCCCTTCCCCTCCCCCCAAATCACAGCTCTTCATCGGACAGTAGCAGCAGGGCAGGGAGGGGACTGGTCAACCCCTTCCACCAGACACTCTATGATGTTAAGTGCTAATCTGGAGGTGACTTTCTTTTTTTTTTTCTCCCAGTACCAGGGATCAAACTCAGGACCTTGTGCTTGCCATGCAGGTGCCACAACACTGAGCTACATCCCTCCCTGGCCCTGGAGGTGACTTTCTCCTAAAATGGTTTTATGGAAACAAATGACAAAGTGTTTTTTTAACAAAGTGGTATTTGGTAATTCAAAATCGATTGCATCAGTTAAGTGTGCAGATGCGTTCTGGTTAGTAACTCATCTTACCCACTTTAGGTACAGTGGCATCACGTACACACAGAAGTATTAGACAGTAAATCTTTGGATCGATGGGATAACAAAACCAGGAAAATCTCCTGTCTGGACGGGGGAAGCTAGGAAATGCAAAATTCTTAAAAACCACCACAGATGATTCTGATGCACAGATTGGTTGAAGAGGATTTCTAGGACTGATTGTGTAATAACTGTGCTGCCATTTAGCAAACTTTCTCATGTTTTTCACTCTTTTCATGGTAAATAAATGATCACAACATGCATGTACACATGTAGTCAATCTGCTCATCAAGAGGATGAGTTTCTTGAAGAAAAGCACCACAGTTGATCATTCTACTTGTTTTCCTGAGACACTCAGAATGACTTTTGACATGCTAGAGTTTGGATCTGGAGTGTCTTCAAAAGGCCCACAGGCTAACTGCACGATTACCATCCTGTGGCACCACTTGGAGGTGGTAGAAGGATGTTAGGACACTGAGGGTGTGACCTTGAAGGGAACACTAGGATCCCAAGCCCGTATTCCCTCACCATTGTGGTCACCATGAGGCGAACAGAGCGCCTCCCCAAAATGCTCCTGCTACCACAGGCCAAAGGAAGGAGGCCAAGAGCCATAGGCTGAAACTTCTGAAAGTGTGAGTTTAAATCGATCCTTCCTCCTTCTAAGCTGATTACCTCAGGGGCTTTGTCAGCGACAGGGAAAGCTAAGACATTGCCTGAGTGAAATGTCTGACAAGAAAATGCCATGAGCCTGGGGATTCAGCTCAGTGGTTCTGCCACCTGCCTCCCAAGTGCAAGGTCTTGAGTTCAATCCCCAGTACCAAAAAAAAAAAAAAAAAGAAAAGAAAATAAAAAGAAAATGCCAGCTCTGAGAAGCCCAAGCGAAGGTGCTCTACGGAGTCTTTGGGCAACAGAACACAGCCAGACACTCTGAGAAGTGGACCAAAGTTATGGAGGCGGAGTGGATACCTGTATGAAGCCCGGAGACATCATCTGCCAGCTCTGTGCCCTTAGTATTTTAATGCCTCAGTATCCCTATGCCCATGTACAGCAAATTCCAGGTCTCACATTGAAATTTGACAACAAGGAGGAAAACGCATGGTACAGGAACAGGGTCAGACACTGAAACAGGCACCTAGTGACGATGCCTACCTTCCTCCGGAGAAAGCAAGTTTATGTCTAGTGTCAGAAGGCATTTCAGGAGAAAGCCCAGCTCACCTGGAACTTGGTCATGTCCTCTGCTCAGGGAAGGACAGATTCCTGGAAAGGCAGTCGGGGGGGAAAGCCATGCATGAAAACCAAGCTCATCTTCCAAGGGCGTGAACAGTAAGCTCAACAAGACTCGGGGAGTCACTCAGCTCCAGCCCTGGCTCCTTTTCCTCCCTCAGCCCTTTCGTGGGCTTTGGATCAAACACGCCAAATCTCCCCCGCAAATCCTCAGGTGAACGAACCCAGGGGCCGCCAGCATCGCTGAGATATGCCAATTCCTCGGACTCCCAGGTTCTGCCCTGGAGCTCGGGGTGGGGTATCTTTGCTCAGGCCCCCTCCTCGACCTTCTTTCCAAGCCTGTCTCGTTCTGGGGCGCAGGGCTCCGGGGACCCAACATTCCTCTCCTCAGCCCCTGACGCCCGGTGAAAACGTTCTCAGCCCAAGGCCGGGCACAGGCGCAGCAAAGGCCGGCAGGGCGCTGCGGCCTTGCTCGCGTGGGTTTTGCCTGTGACCGCGGCCCTGCGCGGCGGCTGGTAACGAGGCGCGGACACACTTGCGGCTGGCTGCCCTCCACCTTTCAGTCCCCGCCCTCCCCGGCCCCGGACGCCCGCCCGCAGCGACTGCAACCCGGCAGCCTCCCTCCCGCCTGGCGCCCACACCTGGCCAAGCGGACTCCGGATACCCACTTTGCCCTCCCCGAGGGCTCCGAACTACAAGTCCCAACGAGCCGCGAGCGGGCTCGCCCACTTCCGGCGCCCTCCTCCGGAGACCACTTCCGGCGCCCTCCTCCGGAGACCACTTCCGGCGCCCTCCTCCGGAGACCACTTCCGGCGCCTTCGGGGCTTCCGGTTAGCGTGGGGGTTTTTAGACAAGTCGCTTTGAGCGTTATCCTAGCGATCCTTGTGAGGCGATTGTTAGGTGTTAAAATGGCGCGGAGAAGGTCGGGGATTTAGCTCAGTGGTGCTGCCGCCTGCTTCGCAAGCGCAAGTTCCCGAGTTCGATCTCCGGTACCAAAAAAAAAAAAAAAAGTAAAATACCGCGGAGAAAGAGGTCAGTCCGCCATAACTTCGTCTTTACATTTACATACATGGATAAATTAATATTAATATCAAATACCTGACATCTTGTCACCTCCAGAGTTCATTCTTAACCAGAGCTGTTCAAAGCCTTAACCTTGTGGGAGCCTGAGGAGGCCAAGGCAGGAGGAACGCAAGTTCGAGCCCAGTTTCTCGTCTTAGCGAACCCTGGCTCAAAAAATAAAGGACTGGGTATGTAGCTCAGTTCGAAGGCCCTGAGCTCAATCCCCAGTACCGCTAAGAAAAAAAAAAATTCCCTCAAATCCCCGCCCTCGTGGTTGTTAAATTTTAGTGGAGAGAAAAAGCAATCTGTAAATATAAGTAAATTGCATAGTGTGTCACAGGCAATATGTGAAAATGTTATGGGAAGGTGTTGTGGATAAAGTGTTAGGGACAGGAGGATGAGCATGGCTGTGTGTGTGGGTTGGCCATGCACTTTTTGCAGTTGATTGATTGAGTGAGACAGGGTCATCATGTAGTTCAGGCTGGCCTTGAGCTCACGGCAGTCCTCTTCCCTCAGCCTCCTGAGTGCTGGGATTACAGGCGTGTGCCACCACACCTGGCTCTTTGCAATTTATTTAGGGGAAATTAGCAAAGACAAGAGGCAGAGGACAGTCACTTGAGGCTCTGTAGTTAGGACTCTGAATGGACGCAGGCCTGTTGATACATACAGGTAGACTTTTTAAACAAAAATGTGGTCCTGCCATATGTGTGGGCCTGCAGTTTCCTTTCTATAATTTAGTACCATGATATGTCAGATTTATTGAGGAAATAGGAAGTTTGCTCTGGAGACACTTCTAGTTGTTGATGCTTTCATCTAGTGGCACCTACGTTCTCCAGCTGTACCTCTCTTCTCTTCTACTCTCACTGTGTGACACAGGCTACCCATTTGTCTCTCCTCACTTCCCTTCAGATTTACTTTGGAAGGCAGGGCTGGGGCATGCACCTTTCCTCTGCATCTTCTGTCTTCTTAGGTGCATTAGTTTCCAGTTGCTCCTGTAATAGATAACTACAATGATGTACACTAAACCCAAATGTCTCTTACAGTTCTGAGATAAAAGTCAGGATGGGCTAAAAGTCAGGATGTCCACAGGGCTGTGTGGTTCTGGAGGCTCTAGACGAGACCATTTCTATCCATTCCCTTATTCCTTGGGTTGTGGCCCCTTTCTCTGGAGTACATGACTTCAGTCTCAGCTTCCCCACCACACTGTTTTCTCAGGAAATGACACCTTCTTCATCTCTGGAATAATGACTATTGTGAAGATCGGGCCCAGCTGGATATTAGGAGATAATCTATCTCAAAATTCCTAATGACATTTTTAGAATTTTGTGTCATAAAAGTTCACAACTTTCAGGGACTACAGGATGGACGCATTTGGAGGACCTAATTTTCAGCCCATCATGCATGCATGGACAGACGTATTTCCCCTCTGAGCTCTGGGGAACATGAGATACCTCGCTTGGACCTCACTCCTCAATCTTTAATGGCAAACAACTGCAATATATGTATGTGCCAATTCGCCACAAAACAAGTATTAATCACATATCACAAGCATGTTCTAATAAAAGGGAAAATACATTTTAAAAATGGAAAACAGCAGAGCTCTTCCCTTATCCTCTGAGTCTGTCACTCTTGTCTGACCTTCACCCTTCATGTCCTCACATCTCTCCCTCCTCATCCAGTTTAGAGGCCATTGCTATAATAAGATCAGTCTCTTTGGATTAACTATTAACTCTCTTGCCGCTCTCTCTCACTTGATCTTATTCTAAAATTACAAATCCTAAGTGAATCTAACTCCCTGTCTCTTCCTTGCCTGGGCCCATGTGGAAGATGTGGGTTGAGAAGAATACATGACCCTTGAAGACTGGTCTCACTTTGAATTTATGACCACAAAGTTCACGTGGGCTTCTGCAATGGTTAAGCTTAAATGTGTCAACCTGATTGGCTTGGGAGCCACCCGAGGGATTTGTAAAGCACACTTCTGGGTGTGTCTGGGTAGATAATGCAGGCCTGACTTTGGGGTCTATATCTGGTCTCTGATTTTTCATCTCTGGCACTGTCCCCTGCTCTACTCCCCAGCTGCCATGAACTATATAACTTTATTTCACAAGGCCATTCCCCATGATGCTCCTGCCTTGGAGCCAGCTGAATCCTTTGAAACCATGAGGAGGAAAGTTACACCTGTCCTTGTTTAAGCTGTGGGCATTGGGTATTTTGTTTAGCAGTGGGAAAGCTGACCAATACAACCTCTCATGTTGCCCAGGTATTATTCTCCGTTTTCTTAGTCTGGCCATTCTAAGCAACTAATTCACGGTGCTCCTCCAAGCCTCCAGTAACTCCTCTCCACTTGCTGATAACTGATGACTTTACTTTCTGTGTCCCTGTGAAAATCAAACATTGAATTACCAACATACTAATGAATACACAGCAATATTTTCTTTTTTTATTGTTTTTTGTTTTTTGTTTTTTGTTTTGGTACTGGGGATCGAACTCGGGTCCTTGTGCTTGCGAGGCAGGCAGCGGAACCACTGAGCTAAATCCCCGGCCCCCTATTTTCTATAGACTATCCATCCCCCATTCCCCCTCTATTTTTCTGCTTCCTTTTATAACAAACCCTCTCAAAATGTTTTGTTAGGAATAATTTCTAATACCTTTCATATTCTGTTAAACCACTGTGATTAAGTGTTTTTCCTTACCAATCCATTGGAAAAGTTGTCGTTACACTTCAGTGGTGTAAGTTCAGAATAAAATATTTTAAGCTGAGTATAGTGGCACATGCCTGTAATCCCAGTAATCAGGAGTCTGAGGCAAGAGGATCACTGTGAGTTCAAGGCCAGCCTGGGCTACATAGTGAGTTCAAGGCGACCTTGAACTACAAAGTGAGGTCTTACCTCAAAAAAATAAACATTATTTAGGCTGGTGGCATAGCTCAGGTACAGCACAGGTGAGCTCCCTCCTGGGCACTGCAGGGAGGGGCAGGTAACCTGGAGCATCACTGGATACCTCTGAAGCATGGGGCAGTGGAGTGGGTGCAATATCAGCCACTCGCTTGGGTCTGCTGAAGCTGAAGTGTGGGATGGGAAGGAGCCAAGTCAGTTTCCACTGTGGCCTAGGTGCAGTGGGGCAGGCAGTGTCCGGAAGCATTGTCTGTTGACCTTCTTGTCCCAGGTTTTTGTCCTGGAGACCAGATTTTCTTGGAGCTTTTGACTTTTTGGTTTGTGCTTGTGGGTGGTTCTGTACGGTGGTTTTTGCCAAGTCTGCCATACATGGGAAGCACGAAAGAAAACATGGAAACTGGGCAGGGCTGTGGCTCAGTGGTAGTGTGTTTGCCTAGCATTCTTGAGGATCTGGGTTTGGTCTGAAAAATAAAATCTTGGAGCTCTCTGTTGTTCTTCAGGCCCAAGGCCCCAGTCAACGTGGGCAGTCTGCCTATTTTCCTAACTTGAAGTGTCCTCCAGGGACTGTGTCCTGTGTGACGTCCAGGATGTTTTAACTGTAGGAGAGAGGACTTGGAGAAATGGGGCTGGAACCAGAAATGCTTGTTTTAGTTCTTTGCTTACTCACATTCTTTCTTACATGAATTTTCAGGTTTTGCTGGAGGAAGAATGTAATTCCAGGCCACTGGTGTTGGCTTGGCAATGTCACCTGCTGGGCCTAATAGCATGTGGTTGATGTCATGGCAACAGATGGGTTAAGAATGCATGTGGGGTTGGACTCGCTCTGTTGCCTCTAGAAGAGCATGCTCTGGAGTCCTCTTGTCCAGGAAGAAGGAGGGACATGGGCAGCAGGTCTGAACCCAACCTGTGACCTGATGCCAAGCCCACCTATGCCCATCTGGATTAACCAGACTCAGCTGGCCTGCAGATTCATGAGCATGAAACAAATGATTGATGTTGTAAGCCAACAAGTTTTGGGAAGTATATTTTTACATTTTGTTATTATAAAAATAGCTAAGTAGCATCTGGTCACGCTGCGCTTTACAGACTTACCCCCACATGCCATGAACTCACACACCATCCTGCCCTCCAGGCAGCCTCACACTCACACAGACACACTGCTAGGGAACAAGTGTGGTGTTCCCTCCCCCATCTCAATCCCCAATGTGATGGCATTCGACAGGGGGCCTTTGGGAGGTCATCAGGTCATGAAGACAGAACCTTCATGCAGTGGTTTGACTGTGTCCCCAAAAAGAGCATCTGTTGAGATTTACTCCCCAAAGCAACAGTGCTAAGAGGGGGTCTTTGAGAGGCTCTGCCCTCATGAATAGGTTAATGCTGATTACACAAGTGTTGCTCTTTTGCAGTTATTCTCTCCTCTCTCTTTCCTTTCTCTCCCTCCTCCCTGTTACCCGCTTTCCTTTGCCATGGTATGACAAAGCCAGAAGGCCCTCACCAGATCCCTGCACCTTGATGTTGCCTTCCTAACCTCCAAAGCTGAGAAATAAGTTCCTTCTCTTTGAAAGCCACCAGTCTGTGGTATTCTGTTATAGCACCATGAAACAGTCTAAGGGACTTCATGAGGGGGCCTAGGACCCTCATCTCTCAGGCCATGCAGAACACAGTGAAAGACAGCCAAGCCATCTGTGCACCGGGAAGCAGGTCCTCCCCAAACCATCTGCCAGTGCCCTGACCCTAACCCCTAGCCTCCAACGCTTGAGATGGATTTTGGTTCTCAGCCAGCCAAGGTCTGGTAATGTGCTGTAGTAGCCAAAGACACCGTTCTCATAGTCATGCCTCATACTCACCCTCTTGCTCATGTAACACACTTGCTTGCTGTGTGCCCAGGGCTCCTGCTCTCCTGCTGCTCACACCCACAGAACTTGGTCCTTACACACCCTGTGGTGGCACCCGCTCCTGGCTTAGTCACACTCAGTCCAATCATACTTCTGTTTTGGCATATTCCCTGTGTGCTCTTTGCACCTCAGAATTCTGGGGCACCTGGGGATGCAAGCTGGAGTGTGGCACACCCAAGTTCTCTAAGGAAGCCTTTCTGGGGAGGCTGGAGTGGAGGGGAAGCACATGGAAGGAGAAACAAGCATGAGCTTTCCACTACTGTGACAAGTACCTGAGAAAAAGAACTTAAATGGAGGAAGAATTCATTCTGGCTCATGGTTTCAGAGGTTTCCGCCCATTGTCACTTGGCCTGGTGGCTTTTAGGCTTATGGTGAGACAGATCATCACCATGGAAGCTTGTGGTGGAGGAAAGCTTCTCACCTCATGGAAGCAGAGAGTGAGCTGGAGAGGGAGGGCTGAGAACAAGATATCGTCCCCAAGGCTCCTAATGGCCACTCCAGCCATGAGCTCATCAGTGGGCTAATGCGCTAGTGAAGTCAGAGCTCTCATGAGCCAATCATCTCCCAAAGCCCCACTTTGAACACCATCACTCTGGGACCAAGCCTCCCCCACACCCACCTTCTGGGGTCATTTGCGATCCAAACCGTCACAGTCATGATGAGAAGGAAAGCAGCTGGCTCAAAACCGGAGGACAGAGGCAGTGGGGAGGGCGGACAGAGCCCAGTGCAAGGAGGCTGACCCTTCTACACTGGACCCAGAAGCAAGCTCTTCTCTCTGCAATGCTGCATGTGACCCTGAAGCTCCTTCAGGTGCCCTGGTTGGGTAGAGTTTGGGGAGACAGCACTGTACTGGACCGGGGGTGAGCCCTCTCCGGTGCTGCTAGGAAGCACACGATGTGGTAGGAGCTTTGGAGAAGCCTTTTTAAAAAACCAAAATAGTGGGACCAAGGCTCATGGGTGAGGGCAAGCCCTCTATGGTGGAAATCTTTTCAGCCCCATCCTCACCTATCTCCTTCCATTCTGAGCAGATCCCAGTCTGGTCTCAGGGGAGGGCAGGGGCAGTGTGGTCCCAGCTATGCTCCGGGTGGTTCCCCAAGGCTAGTGCTCTGAGGAGTGCTCAGGAGCTACCCCCTTAGGCCCTGTGTCTTCTGCCCTCAGAGGTCTTGGGGAGCGAAGGACCCATCAGGGAGCACTTGGGTCTTCAGAACTCAGCTGAGGAGTCCCTGGGCAGACAGGGAAGGGAAGTTAGAAGGATGCCCATTTCCAGAGGTCCTCTTCATGCCCTGCATGGGCTCACATCCAGCATTCACCCTGGCCTGTTGATGCACTTTGGAGCAGGGCTCATCCCTTGCTGCCTTAAAATGCAGGCACAGAGGATGAGGCAGACAGCGACTTGCACATTCCTGGCAAATGGCAGAGCTGGGATTCAAACTGAGCACCTTGGGGAGTGGACTGGGAATACTGCACTACAGCACACTCATCTATCACCTGGTCTTCTCTGGTTAACACAGATGGAACAGGCTGTGTTAAGAGAGGAGGAAGAAACAACTGAGGGATGCCTGGAATCCTTTCCTGGTTCAGTCCATGCTTACTTAGCTCCTTGTTTCCAGGCAAATACATCACAGCAAGAGGGCCAGGCAGAGGCAAGCTGCTCACTCCGAGGTGGCCAGGAAGTAGAGAAAGAGGAAAAAGCCAGAGCAGGAGAGGAAGGGGACCAGATACAGTCCCCAAAGTCACGCCCCATGATCTATGATCCACTCCCTTCTCCTTGACCCCACTTCCTGTTTCCTTCACCTCCTAGT